AAAGGTGCCAATGCTTTACTTGTTGGTCAACAATAAAGAAGAAAATAACAGTAGAAGTAACCCCACTGAGAGAGAAAGGCGTTAAAGACAGATCACAGTCTCCAAGAAAACACTGTTTTATGCTAGCAGTAGTACGGTATCAATGGCATTAAGGCACTGTTAGTAGGAATAGTATTATATAGCACAGAATACAATACAGAATATAGAAAAGAATACAAATACAAGAAGTACAGTAGTAGAATATAGAATAGAATGTAGGCTATTCACTGTATAGCAGGGGTGTCCAACCTTGGCAACTTTAAGACTTGTGGACTTCAACTCCCAGAATTCCTCAGCCAGCAAAGCTGGCTGAGGAATTCTGGGAGTTGAAGTCCACAAGAATTAAAGTTGCCAAGGTTGGACACCCCTGCTGTATAGTATCAATAGTAAGAAATAAGATACAATATATGACAAGAAACATTGCAAGAACTCAGATATGTCTGTATAATATGATTTTTATGTATTGGATATTTGTTTTCAACATGAAGTATCTACTGAACCCATGTTAGGATAATAAAAATCCAGTTGGCTAGGGTTCAGTGCTTTTGATGGATCTTTGAACTTGAGTTAACAAATTGAGTATAGTCTGAAAAGGACAATGAGGAAATTGTATGCAACCTCAAATCTGTTATTCTTGGTTGCTATTCCTATTTTCAAACACATATATTATCATGGGTATTAGCAAGAGGGTATATATTAACACACGTATATCATTGACTGACACAATCAGTCAAATATTACAGTTTATATACCTACATCAGATTTATGGCCCAAGTAAGCAATTCTAGCATTTACTTTAAGTAATTTTTTATGCACATATTGCATACGGGGCATTTTGACATCAGTTGTTTTTTTTTAAACAGATGCTGTTTATACTACTTTTTCTGAAAATTTCACATCTCTGAGAATGGCCAAATCTATCAGTTTCCTTTTCTGCCACACTAACTTTAATTTTATTTAAAAATAATATTTCCTTATGCAGTAGTGTTTTGATTCTCTTGGTGAAAAACAAAATCTCAGTCATAATTTCTTGTAAAAAACAAAGCAAACCAAACCAAATTTCCAGAACTTTGACCTGTCCATTGCTGGGTGACTTATGTTGAAATTAAAAATGACAAGACTGCCACATGGAGTAGCAGCTTTCATTCAGCCACTAGAAATATGTCTGAATGGGTTCAGAGATATTTTACTGCACAGCAAACAAATCCCACTTCCTGGATAGTTGAGTGTCACTTTCTCCCTAGGTCACATAAACTTTCCCATCCATTTCTGAAGAAATGTATCCAGAGGTGGTATTCAGCAGGTTCTGACCAGTTCTGGAGTATGGTAGTGGGAATTTTGAGTAGTTCGAAGAACCGGCAAATACCACCTATGACTGGGCCCACCGCGCCATCTATTCTCTGCCTCCCGAGTCCCAGCTGATTGGCTGGGTCTTCTTTGGTTGCCCTGCACAGGAGAACAGAGCTGGAAAGCAGGTTAGTGGGATGGGGAGGGAATGGGGATTTTGCAGTATCCTTCCCCTGCCACGCCCACCAAGCCATGCCCACCAAGCCACGCCCATAGAATCGGTAATAAATTTGTTTGAATCCCACCATTTTGGGAAAGTCTTCTTCCTTTTTTAAATGAACTTAATCAAATTTCCCATCATTCCTACAGCTCATTTTAAGCTATAAAAGTCACCAAAGGAAAAAAAATGAAACAAGTTGGAGATGGCCCAGAATGCCCTCCTTCAACCTGGCCTTCAGCTCCTCCTGACCAGACACTGTGCATAAGCACTACAGCAATTAGGCAGATCACTCAGTCTCTGGATTGGATGGGTCCATTGCAGTTAATATAAGTTTATTATAAGCTGCACTGGATCAGATAATGTCAGGGATTCCCAGAAGATTTGCTTTATGATCTTAGCATTTGTGCTAAGATCATAAAGTGCAGCCTTACAACTAAAAGTGCAGCCTTACAACTAAACATCTGCAGACTGGAATAACCTTGCATAGATTCCTTTCAGCTGGCATTCCCTCAAGAATTCAACTGTCCTGGTGTCTGCTAAGAAAGCATTCCTCTTCCAAACTCTTTCAGTTTTCTTATTTTCTAGCCAAGTTAGATTTGTGCACCATAAATACAGCACTGATTTTCAATCCCTCCAATGTTAGATCCCTGGTTCAAACATCAATCTGAAGACTTCAGTGGATCCTTTTGCCTCCTCTGCAACCCCCCCTTCAAAAGATCATTTGCAGTAATTGAAAATGCACATTGCATCTATTAAAGGAATACTTAACTCAACTGTTAATAAAAGTTTTCTTCCTGAGAGAAGACTTAGATTCCTCACTATAGACAATTAAGGACAAAGGCATTCATTTACATGAGAAAAACTGATGTGAAATAGGTTTCAAAAATCTCATAGATGGGACACATTTTTTGATATGAAAGAAAAACATGAAAATTGCCACTTTAAGAAGCTGTATGTTGCCCAACCCATGCATGTTTTTTCTATGGCCGTTGGAATTGAGATGCTAAAATCCAATTGGCCATTAGATAACAGCAAGGGATTGATATGCATAATATTACATATCTGTGCTGAATTTCTGAATTATCTGGATTTCACAGTCGAATGTTGGTAGCTCTAATTTTATATAACTTTGAATTAAGAGACTATGTCCTGCTTTATTTGCAGTAGAAAGCTTCTTTTCACATGATAGAAGAATCTATATGTGGGAACTGGAACCTGGGAAGCAATTTTTAAAATATTCCCATCTCCCCTTCAGCCCCTGAGCTAAATGAGAAAAATCTAACATTCCTCAATAATTGTATCTTGCTTGGCTCTAGACATATGGGTAGATAAAGCAGTACTTTTGATGTGAAATGTTCTTTTCTCCTTAATTAGCAATTAATAGCCCACAATTTGTGCCTAAGAGCATATTGGACTGAGGTTGAAGCAGCTTCCGTTCATGTCTAATTGTCTTTTTATTTTTGGAGAGGGGAGGAGGGGAGCAGAGGCATGTTTTCAGATATGTGACTCACATAACAAGTTCGCTCTTGTGTGACCAACATTCCCTCCACCCACCCCCAGCATGCATGCACGCGGCATGTCATCAACCAATGATTTCATTTAAGTTTGCAAAGGCTGCTTAGATTCCAAACATCATAGCTTGAGCTGACTGCAACAAGCCAACTCATTGGATAAGCAGAAGTGCTATTCCACGCAAACTGCAGAGCATACCTCTAAGGAATCAAATGAATACACACACACACACACAATGAATGCACGCACACACACACAGACACACAGACACACACACACACACAAAGAGAAAGTGTACATGCAGTACATGCAGCTTTTGTTTCTTTAATTTAGTTCTACCTGGCTTAACTTTCCACTGCAGTCTCATTTCCACTTTGTATGTTTGTCTCTCCAAACTTTTAATAGTTTGGCCAGACTGCTATATATTGGATATCCAAGGAGGTTGGGGAATTAGTTGTATGGAAGATAAAATTCCACAGGATAGTGGTAACTATTGTTTCTTATCAAATTAGAAATCAAAGTATAGGTATCCTCTAAACATAGAAATTACGTGACGTGAAATAACTAGAGAAGAACTGAAAATATGTTTGTCTACACAGCAAAAAGGATCAGAGAAGGTTAAGGTGTCAGGGGCACAAATAGTCTCATTGAAAGAAACTGATACCCATGTAAGAAATAACCCGAAACAACATCAGTTCAGAAAGCTGTGAAGCTTAAAGATTCAAACAAACATTGCATCAGAGTTTAACAGAAACGTAATGCTCAGCCCAGGTTCATGAGTCATAGAATTCTGTAATTTGGCTGGATGCACTCAACATCATTTTCCACATATCTTATTGTAGAACATGTGCAGATTATTTTCATTGTGAAGCAATATCTAATTGTCTCCATAATGTTCCAAGATAGTTTTCTGTCTATGGAAACAGTACATAGAGGTGAATGTTCTTAGATTCCAGGGGACTCCAAATTTGGCAAATTTAAGACTTGTGAACTTCAATTCACAGAATACTGAAGTCCACAAGCTTTAAATTGCAAAGTTCTTGCCAAGTTGTAAACCCCTATTCTTACAGGAAAGCAGAAGAGGAACAAAGCAAAGAGTAAATACAATCTGGGATATATGATCCGGGGTGGGATTCAAATTTCTTAACAACCGGTTCTGTGGGTGTGGCCTAATTTGTGGGCGTGGCTTGGTGGTCATGTGACTGACTGGGCATGGCTTGTATGTAAATATTGTAAATACTTGTGTAAATATTGAATTTTTTATTTTTAAAAAAGAACAACTTTTACCCAAAATCAGTCAAAGGAAGCAGGCAGATTGAGTTGCTTGCAGAATCACAGATTCACTCACAGATCTACCTTTCTGCAATCTGCTGCCTGAGTATGTCACATAAAATTTGCTTATACAACTCAGGCAAGTTGGATGGCGTGCATGCGAGATAAGGAGTGACTAGGCAGGGAGGGGAGGGGAGGGGAGGGGCAGGACCAGACAGTGGCGTGATTTGCCAGTTCTCTAAACTGCACAGAATGGTAACAACCGATTCTATAGAACTGGTCTGAACTGATAGAATCCCACCTCTGTATATGATCCACAAACAATGAGAAGGCTTCAAGTTACAATTAGACTTATATAAAAAAAAGTATTTTTTTTGTTTGCACCATTCATGCACAGAGATGCCGCAATTCGTTTGCTGTTATACTATTTCTTTTTCTTTGAAAGTCATCACTGATCAACTTGAAACATTCTGCATTTCTTGCTGTCCTGTGATTTATACTTATAGCCTCCCTTTCTCAGCTTGATCTTACACATTCAGGGTGGCTTTTGCCTTAGCTGAAGGGAACATTCTGCAATCTGAAGCAAAGAAATCTAAAACTCCATGAGAAAATTCCATGGGGGTGGACGCAGTTTAGAAAACAGCGGTAATATTTCACAATATAATTCTACCTTGGTTTGTTTTGTAGAAGCATGTTCTCAAGCCAGGAAAAAGAACTCCATGTTCCATAATGAATTGTTAGTTGTTCTTCTGGAAATTGAATTTGTATTTCAGTGAAATCATTATATAAATCCACAGTATCATACTCTATTTTCTATCACATGCTCTTTTCTGTCAGACAGTTGCTGGAGGAATTGTTATTGTGCTTCATTATTTCAATCTTTAGCAGTGAATCAATCATTAAAATAAACTGTACTTGTTCTGTACAGTCAATTAACATACTCGTAAACCCCGCGTCGCGATTGGCTAAAGCGCGCGGCGACCGGGATTGGCCGAGCGAGCCGCACTGATTGGCCCGTTGGGAATCTCCCGCGATTGGGTGAGCTAAGCGCGGGAGATTTGAAGCGGTGCCATTGGTCACGGCCGCCGCGGCTTGGAAATAAAAAGCCGCTGTTTTTCCTTCCAAGCTTAAGCTATAACCGGAGCACAATAAAGAGCTGAAAATAGTCACTGACTCTGAGCTTCCTTCCTGCGCAAGCCGCCGAGAGACCACCACACACCACGGGGACCTGGACTCCGCCTCGGACACCCCGGAAGAAGAAGAAGACGTCCATCGGCTCCAGGCAGGTCGAGACCGACGAGATCAACGAGGTCGTAAGTCGGGGCCCCAGTGCGCCGGGTGTGGGGGCAACCACTTCCGATCAGAATGCCGTTTCATCGACGCGACCTGCCGGCATTGCAATAAGAGGGGCCACATCTCCCGAGTCTGCCGGCTCAGAAAAACATACAGCCCCCGCCGCCGAGAACCGAGCAACCGAAGGCGAGACGACACCCCCCCCAGGCACAGAGAGCGCCAAGCCAACAATCGCTGGAACCGAGACAACCGGGGGCGACGAAACGGGGAAGACCGCCAGAGGGAGGAAACCCATCAGACGGTCACGATTGGCCATGCCGAGACCACCGATGCCCGCAAGGTCTACGTGGAAGTGAACATCGAGGGCGAGCCCTGCCGGATGGAGGTGGACTCCGGGTCCTACCTCTCCATGATCGCCTGGAAAGAAATCAAGCGGCTGGTGCCAACCATCCAAAAGGGAGGGCTGGAGAACCAAAAATTGGTGATCAAGGACTACCAGGGGAACCGAATCCCCGTCATTGGGGCCGGACAGTTCGAGGTGACCTTCAAGGGCCGCACCGCAAAACTTCCCCTGACAATCGTGGACCGGAACCGACCCAGCCTCCTAGGACTCCAATGGTTCGCACCACTTGGCATTGAGGTCACCGGCATAAACCACATCGAGGAAGCCGACTGGGAGCAGCAGCTGGCTAAGGACTTCCAAGAAGTATTCGACGGCACCCTAGGCAAGTACCGAGGGCCCCCTATCTCCTTCAGCCTAGACCCCAACATCGCCCCCATACGCCTAAAACCGAGGCGGGTGCCTTTCGCACTGCGGAAAAAAATAGACGAGCAGCTTGACAAGCTCGTAAAACAGGGGGTTTTGCAGCCAATTGACCACGCCCGGTGGGAGACCCCAATAGGCACCCCAGTTAAGCCAGATGGGTCAGTAAGGATCTGCGGGGACTATAAGGCCACCCTCAATTGCGCCCTGCAACAAAGCGCCTACCCCATCCCAGTAGTGCAACACCTACTTCACTCACTGGGGGGGGCAAAGTTTTCGCGAAGCTCGACCTGGCGCAAGCCTATCAGCAGCTGCCGGTCGACGAAGAAACTGCTGAGGCGCAAACGATAGTCACCCACCGGGGAGCGTTTCGTTGTAACCGACTCCAGTTTGGAGTCAGCATGGGCCCAGGGATTTTCCAAAGCCTCATGGAGAGACTACTGCAGGGGATAAAAGGTGTGGTCCCTTACTTTGACGACGTACTAGTGTCAGCAGCCAACCGGGAAGAACTAGAGCAGGGGTGGGCAAACTACGGCCCGTGGGCCACATCCGGCCCGTTGGTCTGTCCAATCCGGCCCGCCCCTAAAAAAAATTGCTGGGTGTGGCATATTGCCCTGCGCCGCGTGGCCCCCAAAGCTGCAAAACAGTGCGGAGCGCTCTCGGGGTAGGAAAGAAAAGAAGAACTTTGCAAAGGCCTCGGCTGGGAGTTCGAAATCACCTTCGAGTGCGACCTCTCCGAAGGTGAGTCCCCGCCGATCCCCCTTTTTTTTCTGGGGCTTCCAGGCTTAAACTTTGCAAAGGCAAAGTTTGCAGGCGGGAGCGTCTTCCAGCCGAGGAGCGGGAAGGGTTCCGCCTGGCGGGCGGGCAGGCTGCTTGGAGTGGGCTGCTTGGAGCCACCTAAAGCTAGGCCGCTGCTGGTGGAGCCTTGCCCTGCCTTGGTGCCCCGTTTCCTGGCTCGGCGTCCTGCTTGGGCGGCACTTTAAAAGCCTGCTCCCAGCACCCGAGCAACTTCCCAGCAACTTGCGGCTTCCTTTTTCCTCGCGGGCACTCGCGCCTGGCCCCGAGCCGCGCGGTGGAGGGGAAACCCGGAGCACTGCCTGGTCGCCTCCTTCAAGCAGCCCGCCCGCCGGGCGAAACCCTTCCCGCTCCTCGGCGGGAAGACGCTCCCACCTGCAAACTTTGCCTGTGCAAAGTTTAAGCCTGGAAGCCCCGGAAACCCGAGCAACTTCCCAGCAACTTTCGGCTTCCTTTTAACTCGTGGGCGCTCGCGCCTGGCCCCGAGCCGCGTGGCGGAGGGGAAGCCCGGCGGGCGGGCGGGCTGCTTGGAGGAGGTGACCCGGCGGTGCTCCGGCAGCAGCAACAGGCAGTTCCGCCTGGGCTCCGCTCAGGTGTCCGGCTGGGGCTGTCAGGAGTTGCTACCGCCGGCGCAGCTCCGCACGGCTCCAGTCCCGCGTTGCCTTGGGAAGGAAAAGGCAAAACCAGGAGCTGCTGAGCCTGAGCCTCCGGTGCCGCTGCTGCCGTTGCAAAGCACCGCCGCGGCTCTTCCTTTTTGCCTTTCCCTTCCCGAGGCAACGCAGGACTGGAGCCGCCCGGAGCCGCGCCGGTGGTAGCAACTCCTGACTCAGGGGGCCTCCGAGGGGAGGGGAAGGAGGAGAAGGGGGGAAGGGTGGAGGGGGACGCGATTCCCAAAAAATCTTGTGCTGACCCGGCCCGTCTGTCAAATTTTAAAAGTCAATGCGGCCCCCGAGCCAAAAAGTTTGCCTACCCCTGAACTAGAGGGTCGCCTAAGGGAGGTACTTGAGAAATTCAAAGGGGCCGGTCTAAAAGTGAAGAGAGAGAAATGCCAGCTTTGCACAGAGCAAGCCGAGTTCCTGGGGTACCTCCTAGACCGACATGGCATCCACCCAACCGGAAACAAAATAAAAGCCATCAAGGAAGCCCCCATCCCCAAGAACAAAACAGAGTTGCAGGCATTTCTGGGACTGCTAAATTTTTACAATGTATTCTTGCCCCAAAAGGCGACCGCGGCGGAGCCTTTGCATAGGCTCCTGGATAAGACGGCAAAATGGACCTGGGGGAAGCGTGAGGACACCGCATTCAGGAAAACCAAGGACCTGCTAACCTCGGATGCCGTCCTCATACAGTACAATGAGACTCTACCCCTCGCCGTCACATGCGACGCCTCACCTTTTGGCGTCGGCGCCGTCCTCAGCCATACACTCCCGGACGGAAAAGAAGCACCCATTGCTTTCTTTTCGAGGACACTCAGCAAACCAGAAAGAAACTACAGCCAACTGGACAAGGAAGCCCTGGCCATCGTTGCAGCAGTAAAGAAATTCCACGAGTACCTTTACGACCGCCGATTCACCATTATCACGGACCACAAGCCGCTGCTGGGAATCCTGGCGGGGAACAAGGCCACCCCGAACATCCTATCCCCCAGGATGACAAGGTGGTCCGAGTTCCTTGCTGCCCATGACTACCGGCTCACACACCGCCCCGGTAAGACGATCACCCATGCAGATGCACTGAGCCGCTCGCCACTACCCGACCTCGACGACGACCCAGCCCCCACGACGACCACCCTCAGCATAGAGGCATTGCCCGACCTACCCATAACCGCGTCAGACATTGCCCGAGAGACTAATAAAGACAAACGTCTGGCGCGGGTATTGCATTGGGTAGAAAAAGGGTGGCCGGAAAAAGACAACGACGAATCGTTCAGGATATTCCGAAACCGCCAAACAGAACTGTCTTTGCAAAAAGGTTGCTTGTTATGGGGGGACAGGGTGGTCATACCAGAAAAGCTACAAGGGAAAGTATTAAAACTTTTGCACGAAGGGCACCCGGGCATCGTACGAACAAAAGCCTTGGCCAGAAGCTACGCTTGGTGGCCAGGCATGGACAAAGAAATTGAGGTTTGGGTGGCCAGGTGCTCACGCTGCCAAGAAGCCAGACCCAATCCCCCTGCCGCGCCGATACTAGAATGGGAGACCCCCAGGGGGCCATGGTCCAGAATACATATAGATTTCGCCGGCCCCACAAGAGGAAACACATTCCTCATCACGGTGGATGCTTACTCCAATTGGCTGGAGGTAAGCAACATGAAAACCACCACAACAGAAGCTGTCACTAAGGTACTCAACAAACTGTTCACGACCCACGGCCTCCCGGATGTCATCGTGTCAGACAACGGGCCCCAATTCACCTCGCTGGAATTCGAAAAATTCCTAGCGGAACGGGGCATACGACACGCATTGACAGCGACGGCACATCCGGCGGCCAATGGTAGGGCAGAACGGATGGTTCAATTTACAAAGAAAACCATCCAAAAAATCGAACACGGGGACATACAAGAAAAGATAAATAAAATGCTCCTAATACAACATATAACCCCTAATACAACAACAAACAAAAGCCCGTCAGAATTACTAATGGGGAGGAAACTAAGGTCCCCACTCGACAGACTGCACCCCACATACAACCCGGAAAAGCCCCCAGACTCATCAAGCAAACACCGGGCCTTTGCACCAGGCGATGCAGTCTATGCAAAGAACCTTACCGGAGACCCACTATGGGTACCGGCAACCATAACCCAACTGACAGGCCCCCACTCCTACAGACTGCAAACAACGGACGGACAATCATGGAAA